TGGGTGGGTTATTAACCTCTAGTAACCACGGCTCATGGAAGGGAACTTACTACCAGCAGCTAAAAAAGCTCTTCAGCTCAGGCAATATATCTTGACCAGTGGAAAAAAAAAAAAAAAGATAGGGTTTTATTCTAACCTCTGTGTTTGAGAGATTTAGAAAAGAATCACAGGAACTAGATTCATCCTGCTGTTGCAGAGAAGCCCTTTAGAACCCCATTTGCTAAGAATCCTCAAACACAGCCTGTTGAAAAAACAAACCACAACAGTTTATAAACAGGCACAAATCAGCCAGTGATGGACTCTTATTTTATCTTGCTTTGCAGGCCAGTTCTTGAACCATGAAGTTAAACTTCTGCAGGAATCTCTAAAAACAAGTCACCAGCAGGCTGGTCAGAACCAAACTGAAGCATTAAAGCCAAACCCTACAAACACCCTGAAGGTGAAGGGACGGCTCGTCCCTGTGGTGTGGAAGCAGAGGAGGATCTACAATGGCCAGCAGGAGGTTGAATGCTGGTTTGCCAAAAACAATGCGGACAAACTGATAGATGGGAGCTACAAGGACTATTTGGCTTCTCACCCTTTCGACACAGGGACCAGCTTTGGGACAATGAACAGCCTTTAAGACTGGTTGTAACAATGCATTGCAGCAGGATGTGTGACAGCAGGTCCTTTCCGAAGCCTCTACTGGGCAACTTAATGAGTATTTCTTTACTTTTTGGTGCCAAAGAAACCAAGGACTTTGCCCTTGGAAATCAGCTGTCTCTCTTTCATGATAGATGAACATTATTCATCAAATTCCTGAAGAACAAGGAGGTTGGGGGGGGAGGGGAGGGTTGAGGACACAGTTTAAGGCATGATTGGTGATCTCCCAGTGGGAAGGGAGGGAGAAATGGGCCAGCACTCATACTGGACAGAGCAGAGAGCTGCTGACCTTTGAGTAAACCCATGCAGGGATCTGTGCAATACACCCAAGAGGCTGGTGAGTCACCCCATGAGAGGCACAGGTCATACAGCACAGTGCCTGTCGAGGTGTTATGATTTGCAAAGAAGAGACTTGGAGCATCTGCTCCAACCTTAGTCCATGGGGAAAGAAGAGAGAGAGGGAAGAGGTGGGTGGATATTGATCTGCAGTGACCCCTTAGCATCAAACAGGTAACAAAATCAAAGCCTTAAATCAATAGGCTACAGGAGGGTATTGCTTGCCTGGTTATTGGGATGAGGTCTGGATTTGTCACTGAGCATAAGGTTACCTGAACCACTGCAGACCCTTAAAGCAGTGGTGAAAACCTTCACGTGGTTTATTGCTGTCTCAGGGCACCAGCTCAGCACTTAAAAAGCACCTCCAGTCTTCAGCAGCAACAGGAGTGGTGAAGGCTCCCATTCCATGGAGCAGCTAATTCAACATAATTCAGTGTAATTCAATTTAAGTAACATTGCAGGATTAGGGATTTCTTGAGTCTTGACTCCCTCAGAGAGAAACAAAGTTCCACCACGAGCTTCCAACAGACCTGCCACATCCTTGAGCATCTCACTGCTTCTGTTTAGCAAAGATTTAAATTCTCCAAGGGATGATGAACCAGAACCCACAACAGCTTATGAGCCTACAAAGCAGCCTCTTCAATTTAGACTAGATGCTTTTAGCTGCTTTTCTAATCAGGGAGGAAGTCTTTATTTGTTCCAAATTGTCAAAAGAATCTCTCATCCCAGTTTCCCCTGGCTCCTTTCTCCTTCCTTACACTGCAGGAATTCGCACACAGCAGGAATTTGGCAGCAGGGGGTTACAGAAGGGTCTGCCAGCCACCCCCACTGCAGGTGGTGCTGCTCTGCAAAGAAACCTCCAGACCCAAACTGCAAGGCTGTGGTCTATTTTAAAGTGAGGCATCACTGAGCAATGCTATAGATCAGCCACAGGGGAGTTCTAGTAGAGAACTTGTCCAAAGAGGACTTGACAACCACAAAGACATTTACATGGCAAGGCCAAACTGAGCTTACGTATGCTCTGCCTTTCCAGAACTGAAAGGAAAGGAGGGAGGGTATGGAAGCATCTCCAGGAATTAAATTATCTCCATGTGTTAGGAGAAAATAGTTTCCAGAGACCTGCAGAAATAGGTTCAGTCTTGACTGATTTTTTTGCATATTTAACAATTAAATCATATTGTTGCTGTAGGAGCTCCAGCTGCTGGGGGTGGGGTGGTGATTTTCCAGTTGCTTGAGCAGCTAGTTAGTGCTACTCGACCATGGCAGCAGAGCAGGTGGCAAGCACGGTTTCTTATTTACACCATGTGCTGCCTGGAAGAGGGGAAACAGCCAAAAGCAACCAGCAAGATTTAATTGCACTCTGGAAGATCCTTATAGTACAAAACTCATGCCAAGGCTCGTACTTTGGAACAAAACATAAAGGAAAGAAAACCTACTGCTTAGGGCCCTGCTATCTTGAGAAACAGCTCTCCTGCAAGGGAGAACCGAAGGCAAGACCTTCAGCACAGTCCTGAGCGTGGAATAATGAGATGTTTCATGCTCTGCAGTGGGCTCATGGGCCAGAAATGAGATGAGAAAGAACATCTGTTAAGTCGACTTCTCCACCCAAGAAGACAGAAGAAAGATCACCCAGAGCCCACATCCAACCAAACCTCCCATTTCACTGGCACGGGGGGGACAGGGTTGTGGCAGTGAATTTCTGTACAGTCCAGGGTTCAGCAGGTGTCCTCATACTGTCCTTCCTGAAAAGAGATTTCTTTCAAATCTTTCCTCTCCTCCCATGTTTTGCTGTTCAGTCATATTGCTAAGGGGAGCAGTTGGCTTGGGCTCTCCTCTCCTGTATATAAATATGTATATAAAGTATATATATATATATACACACACACACACACACTTATTTCTAATGATTCAGGTGTATCGTTACTCCTCCTCCTCCTCCTCCTCCTGCCAAGGAAACATATTTCTTTCAGGGCCTGAAGATAACAACCATCAAATCCAACTTCTCAGCAATATGAAGCACCTGGAGCAATATACTCAAGTTCTAATTAAGGCTCCAGTTACCCATTTCACAATAAATATTTTACAGTGAACGCTGCAGTGACGCTTTCATTTGGCAAAGATAAAAGAACTCTGAAGCTGAGGTTATGTATGTTTTATGCTGCTGGACAAGCCTCGTGTTTCCAGATGGCTGAAAGAATCATTCACAACAGGTTGGGAGCCAAAGTAGTTTCAATGGAAAATTAAAGGTCAGTGATGTTCTTCAGCCTCCGTATACTTGGTAGGAAGCAACAAGTGAGTTGGGTGAACAGACTCTGCAGTTCTACCCCCATATTAAAATAATAAATCAACCACATAGACTGATCCAGCCTTTAAATACAGTAGCCTAGGACAAGGGAAATCAGTTTGTGCTCCTGCTGCACATACAGACACGCACTGGCTCTCATCTCCAGCAGTGTCACAGAGCACTTGGTTTTGCAGTGACACAGCCACAGGTTGCACATTGCTCAGAGAGCTCAGGAATGAGGCTGAGCAGCCACTCTGCAGTGCAATGGAAACAACTGCACACCATCATTTCAGAGAAGGGAACGGGACTACTGAACTTAGGGTTGCTGAAACAGCACTGAGTACACAACGCTTGAGAGGGACAACCTTTCCCCCGTCTTATTTGCCCTGCCATTGCCTGTTGTGAACCTTCTCAGGCAGCCTCAACCAAGGGCTAAGGTGAAGATCCTGTCACTCACACTCCATTTTAGGCCAAGGACTTGGCTGTGGCCAAATTTGCACTCTCCAGCTGCTGGAGCATCGCACTGTGCAGCCCTATAGCAAGAACAAAACCCTCAATACCAGTACACCTCGACATAGAGCAACTTTCAAACAGGGAAGCTGTTTTAATCTATTTCCAGTCAATCTATTTCCACACAGCCCTTAGCAGTGCAGAAGTCCCCAGACAAGCAGAAGTTGCACTGTGAAACCAATTTCACTAAGCAATATTCAGAGGGCTGTGTGCCATGTGTTCCAACAACCTTTTGATGTGCCAGCTAAAGCAGGATTTTGACCCTTCATTAAGAAGGAAAAACAAGAAAGAACTTAATTTCCAGAAAAACAGTATAAAGCTGCACAGCTGCAAGTGTAGCCAAGCGTGTCTAGTTCACTGAAGGGCATGCAAGGCTTTGATTTGCATCTAAGGCTTCTAAACTACTTTGAAGTTAAGGAAAGAAAAACAACAAACCAAACCCCAAAAAACCCCCACCAAATATCTTCACACGCTCTGAGCTCAGCCTTTAAGTCTAAATCCATCTAAGTTAGAAAATACAAATCCTTTTATTTTCTACTCCTTAATGAGTGTTTTCCTGGGCAAAGGCAAAGGAAGAAGGGAAAATAAAAGATCAGTCCCACCCATCACTTATGGGGACTGCCTTGCAATAAGCAAAGTTGTCTGTGGCTCAACTAGGGATACCAGTCAAATTCAGTGGATCCTGGATCAGGCCCTGCTCCGAGGAATATCCACCCTTTGGACTCTTTGTGGGTCTCACCACAGCTGTGTATCTTCACCCAGCCTGGGGGTGGGTTATGCAGCTGCACTGTGCTCACTCCCTCCCCAGGACAGCTGCAAAGTGTTTTGCATTTTTCTGTTTACAGACAAATACAATACACTAAGAGGAGAGCAAGGGCAAAGCCCTGCACTTCACACTTGAAACAAAAAGTGCCAGAACCTGGGATGACACAGGGTCTTCTCCTGCAGCAGTCCTATCCAAGGCCATTCCCTTACCCCCAGAAAATCAGGGCTGACTAATGGGGCTTCAGTTAACAGTTCAGATCCAGTTTGAATCAGGTCCCGCAGAGATTTCATGTGTTTATTTTACACCAGGTAAAAGGAAAATACTCAACTTTCAGTAAACACTTACTTGTAAGGTGGCAACTGGGATCCATCTCCGAGCCTGTTGATGCACCAGAGGTCTTTCCACTGAAGCGGCTCATAACAACTCATCTACAGAAACCAAGCACTGTGGCTCAGCTCTTCATCTGCAGCTTTACTAGGACAGCCCTGCTGCAGAAAGACAATCCTCCCTGCTCAGGAAAGATTTCAACAGCCCCCCCCTTCCTCCCCCTTCACAGCACTAGGGTTTTGCAGAGAATATTGAGCATGTGAAGTCATTTCATTTATGAGGCAATTTTAGGTCAAATATTTATTGTATTCTTTATAAAACAGTAAAAAAGAATCAGATCCACTGAGACAATCTTCCCAATTGAAGGCATTTAAATACATATTGCAAACCAATTCTTTTGAGTATTGTGCATATAAAAGTGTCACAGTTCATGTAGTAGATAATAAGTCTTTTTTTTTTTCTTTTCTTTTCTATAAAAAAGCAAACAAATCTTGATTTAATTCTCTAGCCCTGACCAAAAAAAGTCACACCCAGCTGGCCAGCCAGGAAAAGTACATACTCATACCCCAACCTCAACATGCCTGCGTGTGAACAGGTTAGGGTCACACAGGGAAAGCAGATACTGCTCAAGCCTGTACAGGATGCCCGGGTATCATCCCCAAAACAACTGCAGGACAGGTCTAGGTGAGGCAGGCAAAAGAATCTCTGCAGATCCATAGGGATCAACCAGCATTTCCCACCCTGCCCTTCCTTGGCCAGCCCAAGGATCACAGTGCTGCTCCTTCCTCCACCTCCCTTGTCCCCGGTGTTGTCAGATGACCACTTGATAGCTGGGCTGCTTCATCTTCTGGTTGGTTCCATGGAGCCCTGAAATGTCCTGGTCGCTTTCAGACTGATCAAAATCCATGTCTGGAGAGAGCAACACCTGGAAAGGAGAACAGACAGATGCTGATGGAACAAAAGTTCTCAGATCTTCTCAATGCTGCTTGCTCAAGGGATCAAGACCACCCTTGGAGGGGTCTGCTGCCAGATCCAGTCCTCTCTGGCAGATGGGTACAGTCTGGGGGTCATCCAGACCATCTTTCCAACAACAGCCAAAAAGATCTGGGCACAGACACCATGATGATGTGGTGTCCCAACTCCCTCCTCAAGAGCAGAACAGGCAGCTAGAGGCTCTGTTCCCTATGGGACAAGGACTCACACACAGACACGGATGTTCAGGCCAGGCTACAGCCTCAGTGGAGATGTAAAAAACCAAGGCCACATATTTTGTGAACAGCTGTACCACATGTAGACCTTTTCCCAGGCCCCCAGCTGCTTGTCATCTCCAGAGCTCAGCCAGAAGCGCAAGCAGAGCTACAGGGTTAGCTTCAGCCACAGCCAGCAAGCTTAGAAGTGATGTCCTAAGCCTGGCAGCACTTTATTTCTACCTGGCACAGAGGCTCCTGGCCCAGTCTGGACTGTGGGAGCCAAAACAGAGCACTGACACCTCTCACAGGTACCTCTCCAGGTAAGAAAGCTCAGTTTGCTGCAGGACCAGAAGGCTGCCCTTTGCCCCCAGGAACACCTCACTCTCAGGAGCCAATTCCACTCTTGAAGATATCACAGCCTGTTTTGAGCCACCAGCCCAGAGTGCCTGCATGATGCAGACGCAGCCATGTGCAGGCATCCTCCAGCCACATCATCTGGGAGAGGAGAAAAGCTGTATTTTGCTCAGGCAGTGGCTGCAGTGACTGCAGAAGAGCTGAAACCCAACACCAGCCAGCAGTTTGCATGGGCAACATTCATGGTTTGACTGACTGGAATCACTGAATCATCAAGGTTGAAAAAGACCTCCAAGAGTGAGTGCAACCCTCAGCCCAACACTGCCAAGTCTACCCCTAAACCATGGCCCTGAGCATCTCATCTACATGTTTTCTGAACACTTCCAGGGATGGTGATTCCACCACTTTCTTGGGCAGCCTGTTCCAGTGCCTGACCGTCCTTTCAGTAAAGAAATTTTCCCTAATATCCAATCTAAACCTCCTCTGGTGCAACTTAAGGCTGTTCCTTCTTGTCCTATTACTCGTTTCCAGGGATAAGAGACCGACTCCCACCCAGCTACAACCTCCTTTCAGGCAGCTGTAGAGAGGAATAAGGTCCCCCTGAGCCTCCTTTACTCCAGGCTGGAAACACTTCCAATTCCTTCAGCTTCTCCTCATCAGACTCGTGCTCCAGACCAGACTATTTGCTCAACCCCATCCTACCCCTTTCTCCTTTCCTCAAACACTCAAGTTTGGGCAAGAGAAGCCATCCTGTCACTACAAAGTCTACCTGCGCCTGACTGAACAGCCTTCCAGCTCAAAGGCACGAGGGATGGTAAATGGGCCTTCAGCCCAGTGCACACACACAGAACATCCCCAACAGCTCAAGCCAGTACCAGAATTCCCAGGGCAAAACCAGGAGCACGGGGGGAATTACTCTTATCTCTGTCTATCCCCATGCACAGCCGTGACTTCACGTGCCCTCCACTCGTTAGCACTCAGGCAGCACCACAGGGCCAGTCACCACAGCAACAAAACCCCTAAACAGGAAACACAAAACTCCAGTGAGTCAGTGACTTCAAAGGAGCAGAAGAGCCGCAGGGGAAGGTTTCCTGCTCCCCACCCTCACGCATACTCCAGCCCCTCCATCCCATGTTGTTGTCCTCACGGTCAGGCACTCAAAGGACAGCAGTAGATGGGATTAAGCTCTCTTGTTGTCCACCCGCCCCCTCCACGGGTCTCAAGGAATTTTTTTTTGATTGAAGACACACACTGGAAAGTGTCCATCTCTCTCACGTGAAGATTTCCTTTGTTTATTGCATTAATACTGTGGTGCGGTGGAACCTGAGAAAATGGGAGGGTAATTAGTCACACACAGCACTGTAGGCTCACTGAACTGACAGGCTGCAACAGGCTGGTCATGGGGCCTGATGAGCTGGTGATTTTGGGTGGGTTTCAGTGGAAACTCATATCCCTTTGCAGCTAAGCATGGATGGAGATGGAGCAGGCGCTGAGTGTTGTGCATTCAGACCTCTTGGGGCTGCTACCTGCCCACCATACACTTGCAGGAAGCTGCACAAGCCAACAGTCCCCAGTAACCTTTCCACAATTCCCTGGGAAAGCATCGTGACAAGATGGCACCTCATCGCTGTGACAGTCATGGGACATCCCCTCAGATGTAATTTTCAAGCCTAAATCCAATTTGGGAGTTTTCAGCACAACTTGGACAAGGCTCTTCCCTTGCAGATGTGTCCAGGTCAGGATCACAGCAGGTCGGTGGCAACAGCTGGGAATGGGCTGTGGTGTCCCAGTCCTGGGGACAATGTGCTGCTGTCTCACTCAGCAGTCCCCAAAGACCTCCCACATTTCTCCCCACACCAGGCAGCCAGCAGCTCCCAAAACCTGGGTCACACTACTGAAACAGGGCTGCCCACACACGCTGCCAACCCCTCCTGGCCAGGAGAAGATGCTGCCCACTGGTTCAGTACTGCATACCAGTATGCTACTGGTTTAGAACTCCATCCTTTTGGATAACCAAACCACCTTAGTGGCAGAGGAAGAGACTTCACAGACACAGGAACTGTGGCACAGGCTGTAAAACAAAGCAGCTCTGGGGCCACTTCCCCACTAACCACAGAAACCTGTTTGCCAAAAGCTCCACCAGCCTGGTGTAGAATCACAGAACCATCAGGGTTGGAAAAGACCCAACCATTAACGCAGCACTGCCAAGTCTACCACCAAACCATATCCTCAAGTGCCACATTCACCAGCCTTTTGAACACCCACAGAGATGGTGATTCCACCACTTCCCTGGGCAGTCTATTCCAATGCCAAGAGGTAGGAACCATCCATCCCACCATCCTCCTTAGAGGATCTGAGCTTAGATGAGCTGCTATGACTCAGCAGGATTGGCAGGTGGGATGGTTTCCTTCCAGAGGCACCTCCATGCCCACCTTTATTTATCTTCCCTGTAAGGACCAGGCATCTGAGTTCACCACAAGTTTTAACTGGTAAAAAAATCAGCTCAGCTGAGCAACACCCAAATCAAACTTGCTCTTGGAATATTCTTCAATACTTATAAGCCAGCAGCATTGTATTGGCATTTATCAGCATCTTCAGTCTAGTGAATACCAAAAGTCACAGCTCCTGTGAAGGGAATTAGGACAGGTGCTGAACTCCATGCTGACCAAAGGCAGGTCCCCATGTATTAGTAATGCCTTTCCTCCCAAACTTAAAAGTGTTAGACTTTTGCTTTAAGGCTTGTCTCTGAAAATACAAGCCTTCAGGAAAGGAACAGAAACTCATCCACCTCCCTTGGGGAAAAAAAACCACACCAACAACAAAAAAAAAAAAAACAAACTCAAAAAAGATCAAATAAAGCATTATTAAAACTGACTTGTTTTCCTGAGTGGAGGAAACAAAGAAATCACTGATAAGATCTAAAGTTTATTGGGACTTGCAAGGGCAAGGGAAAAGAGACTTGGGTCAAGGGCAGGACACGTACAAAGCAGAAACAAGGGCCTTGCAGATGAATGCATTTCCTCAGCCTGAACAGCACTGGATGCAGACTGGCACTCAAGAAAGATATTTTTCTATCCCACAAGAGGGCAAAAAAAGGACTCCATGAACATTTGCAAGGCAGGGCAAAAGTCTGAAACAACGTAAAGCTTAAGACTGACATGGAAGGAAGAAAGGAAGGATGAAACTTTTCCAACTATAGGAGAGAATTTGTCCCTTTCAGGGTTTCAGTGCAAAAAAAGCTCAGCTTTTGCTCCATTATAAGCCAGAGCCCACCCTCTGGCTCACCAGAGCAGCCTTAAAGCCCAGCAGAGGCTGCCACTTCTTTGGTCAGCTCTGCAGCCACAGTCAGTAAGGGACACCAGAGGTGGGATTGCTGGTTGGTGGGTTTCTTCTTGTCACCCAGCTGGTCAACCAAGCCCAGGACGAAGCTGAGTGTTCCTGCTATCCCTACAGAAAATACTGAGCACGGGTTTTGAACAGGTTAACTTCAGCCCCCACTTTCCATTCTCCTTCCTATCTCCCCACCCCTCCTTTTCCAAACACAAACTGCTGGTTCGAGTGAAAATAATGGCACTCTGTTGGTGAGACAGGCAGAGGGTTGAAATTCAAGCCTGCAGCGTGATGGGGAGCTGGTGGCGCCTGCTGAGAGACAGCTCTGATGAACCCTGATAAACCACGGGACACACGACCCTCAGCCAGCCCTGCCCCACACACAGACACTCCTCAGCCCACCTTTCTCCTCTCCCTGCTGCCCAGTGGAGGAGGAATTCCCCCACTGAAACAGGTTATTAGCAAGGACAAGCCCAGCAAACGCTCATTTTCTGCTTTCAAGCCTAAATTCCAGTCGATCCAGGTGCAGGGCTCAGCCAGCCAACATGATCTTTAATTCACAGCTTAAGAAGCTGAGACATGAAGCACGAGTCTGTGGCTATACCTCGAGGCCCAGTGCCAAGAAAGAGTTGGAAAACAGGTCACCCACTGCTGTATTTCTTCACTAACTTCCTCTTCTTCCCAAACTGTTTGTCGGGCCAGAGGCACAGAACATGCCTGAGCAGAGAGGAAGCAATCCCTGCAGACTGCCCCAGGTAAAAAACAGTCCCCCTGGTAGCTCCACTGCAGTGACAGATCAGAGGCTTTCAGGATGGACAAAGAACCTGGACACTGAAGATCTCAGCAAAAACTTGTCTGAGAAAAGTAGTCAAGTACTCAGAAGATGGGACAAGCCTTTGAAAGAGGGTCAGAATTGTTTCTGTCAACTTGAAACAACCTGTCTCGACTGAGCTGCCAGAAGAGTCATTCCTAACTTCTGGAAATAAACAGGATCTCCCCTAAGGTTATCCAAAACTGAGCTAGAGGTCACGAAACACTTGCTCCCTGCTCGAGTGGAACAAGGCAGAGGTCCAGCTCCATTTCCATGAAGGACCAGTAACTGCAACACCCTCTGTGTATCCACAGCAGCCACTACATGGCACTGAATGCAGCAAGTTTAGGTTCAAAAGGCAGGAAAGGAGGTTGATGTCTGAACTAGACATGTCACCTCCTTACCTTTCCTTCTGAGCTGGTGTGATTTTAACTGACCTTAAACCTTCAGGAACACAGCAGCACATCCAGGCAGCACAGCAGGTCTTTACCACCAGTGACCTCGCCAGGCTGTAACTGTTTATCCGGAGGCAGGGCCAGGAGAAGTGACTCACTTCTCTCAACAGCTGCTCACATCTGCCTGCCCTCCCTGCCAGAGGGAAGATATTCCTCTGACACTGCATCCTCACGAGCAGTGGCCACTTCCCCACTACACCCTTGGGACAGAGAAGCCTTGGCTGCTGTGCAGGCTGCCCAGCACGCTGTGAAAACATTATTACCTCTGTGTGCACTGCAGTGTCACCAGTAATTGCCCATCCCACCCATCTACTCTTTATGAAAGAGCTCTCAGAGAGCAAGAGCTATTTCTGTTCATCCTAAATTCCTCTGCAGAAGCTACTCCAGGAGCCAGTCCGAGATTGCCAGGAATTATCTTATCTCCGTAAGTCTCGCCAGTGAGCTGCAGGATATCAGGAGTCATACAGAGAACACACTGAAACCAAGTCTGGGTGCCAGGGGAAGGAAGGGAATTCATCCCAAGGACTAACACATTAAGCAGCAGACACCACCTACCCACCAAACCACTCATCATTAACAAGAGCAAAGTCTGCTGGAACTGCAGCATTTCCTCCCCCACCATAACTCCAAAGTGTCAAGCTCAGACTACACAAAATACAGCTTCCTCCAGCTAATGGACCACCATCTGGCTGAAAAAAAAAACAAATAACCAGATGCTGTCAAAAATAGGATTCCCAGCTAGGCCTTGTCCTCTTAAAAAAAAAAAGAAAAATAGAAAGGATGCTATCAATTACAGTGAGGAAAGCAAGCCCTTCTTAGCCACGATTAATTACAACTAAATATGGGAAAGTTGGGAGTGACAGGGCAGACCAGTTTCAGTCTGCCCACACAGGTCAGTGTAAGAGTCAGCTCATTCCCCCTCCCCAAGACAATCATCATTCAGGGCAGTATTTCAGCAAAACTTCATGGGCTGTGACATTGCTGACCGTTGGGCAGAGTTAGTTTGACTTCACAGGGTCATCACCCCCATTCATGAAGCACCACCCCAGGTCTGGAGAACATGAGGGTACGTTGTACTGTCTCTGTAAAGCACACAGACCATCCCACAAGTTCACAGTTTGGTCTCAAACACAGGTTTGTAGCCTTGGTCTTACCTGGGATTCCTCTGTCCTCCTAACCCGAGGAGTTTCTATGGATCCATTGATGTCTAGGGTGTCCTTCTGCTTATGCTTCCTCATGATCAAGCTGTCCACAACCCAGAACATAATGGCCTTGGGGAGAAAGAAGTTACATGAATAGGTTGCAAAGACCAAAATACAAAGTCACTCAGTCACAGATATTTCTTCTCCTTTTGGTTTCTCCAGATGTCCAGCCTTGATCAACCTCATAGCTAAATCAACACTGCATCAATTGGGTCCATGGGGGTTGGATGAGTTAAATTCCTGAGGTCCCTTCTCATACAAGTCCTGTTGATTCCACAGTTGTTGAAGACCCAGAGGAAAAAAAGACCACAATAGGCCAAGTTTCCACCAGAAAATAACCACTAAACCAAGCTTCATTCAAGGTTCATCTGCCTGCACCAGTTCCCTTGCCAGTTTTTTGAGGACCAGAATCTACCTTCAAATCAGGAAATGCAGCCTGGAGTGCTGGAAAGACGCTGGAAACCCCAACTTTTTCAATGCTGCATCCATTCCAATGTTCATGATATGAACTCAAGAGTTTGATGCACTACTTGTCCAGAGAGCATCTGAGTGTTAATAACTTGTTCTCACTTCCCATCTTAGCAGGAACTGAGTCCAACATCAATGATTACCATGAAAAAGTTGAGCTTTCAAGAGGTTTTGCCAGACTAGTTCTGAGAAGAGCAAAAGTTCTGTGTAACCTGAACACCTTGCCTTGCTGTAACATGAGCTGAAGTCCAGCCAAGTGGTTGGATTGGCAGATTACCAAGGTCACAAGGAGCTCAAAGGGTTTGGGGGCATCCCTCTGCCTGTAGTTTGCTGCTGAGATGAACCTTCAGCTAACAAACCCCAGCTTTATTCCAAGAGGTGAAGAATCAGCCACCCAAGCAGGTTGGACAGATGGACAGAAATTAAGAACAGAGAGCATGGCAGGGCAGTAGTGACAAATTTGTGACAGATATACTGGTTTCCACTTCCTCCACCCTGTCCCAGCCCCTTCAAGGCTGTCCCCAAGCCAGTCCCTGTGCACACTCCCCTGGGGGTGGGCCCTGATTTCCAAATCCAGCCCACCCAGCACTTGCAGGGGCACCACTTACATTGACTATGAAAGGCACAACAAGCATCACCAGGACGAGCTCCAGCTGGGGGTTTGGGATGTAACCCAGGAGGATCTGCTGAAGCTGCAGAAGAGAAGACATTTAGAAGCATTATTTGAACATTATATTGACTGACTTCTTCCACCAACAGTCTCCCAGCCAGGGCTCTGCAACCTTAGCTTCAGGGCTGCTCTTAGAAAGATTCCATGGGATATTCCCTTAGCCCAGCTGCCAAACACGTGATTTTGTACAGAATTAAGTACTGTGAGTCTTTCAGTGTAACTATCCATGACAACTGGTGGGACTTCCCTTGGCTCTTTGGAGCCTAGCTGCAGAACAAGGACACCAGCCATGTAAGATAATCACAGAGAGGATTCCAGCAGCATCTCTGGATCCAGCAGTGTGTGCTACTGAGCATGTTCACATCCAAGTGTGAGCACTGCAGGCTACTGGGTTTGAAGGACAAGCCCTGAACTGGAACAGATAAGTGTTCCCACTTTGCTGTAACTCTGCAGTGAAGTCACATCAGCCTGTGAGGTAGCAGGCACTGTGGGTAAGTGCACTCCAAACTGGGGTTACCCATTGACTCCCAGAATTGGGTTTTACACCCATCACACCTACTTGCCACAGGCTATAATTTTTTTAGAAGAGAAACTCGAGATCAACACAGTTACCATTGCATCAGCTACCATATGGAAGTAGCTGAGGAGAGGAGCACAGCATGTTACTTGGGAGACTTCTTTACAAATCAGTCTTTAAGAGTCCCCTTAGTTTAGGCACAGGATCACGAAACACCAACATGGACTGACTTGACAGGATAGTGTAGAAATCCTCTGGCAGAACTGAAGTAGCTCAGCTGCCAGCCCAGCCCACTCCATCTTTCCAAGAACGGGAAAGAAAATTAAAGCATCGTCTTATTCTACAAGCTTTTGACTAGCAAGAGAATTTACCAAAAGCCAAACCATTATGAAAGTCATGTTTCCCAAAACTTAAGCAATAGCTAATTATTACAGAGGGTTGTCAACAAGTCCTAAGGATTAAAGGCCTATGATAATGGGAATCAGGCAAAGCTGACAAGAAGCAAACCACAACAGCTGTGGCTAGAAAAATACAGCTTACCTTTGTCCAACCAGGGATAAGCAGGACAAGGCTAATCACAGTCTTCTCAAAAACCATTATCAGCAAGTAGAGGATACACTGGCCAATCCAGGCAGCAGCTTGTGGAGGGTCACCTGCAAAAACAACACATTAAATCTGGATCAGAGGGCAGGAAGAGATAGCCTTGTAGAAAAAGTTGCCTCATCCTTGACACCTGAGCTGATTTTAGGGACAGGGAAGTGCTTCCATACTGCAAGTTTCGCAGGAAGACAAATAGTTAATACCAAATTTAAAATCAATGGAGAGAATTTCTACCTATAGTTGTAGGAGCCTGGGGTAGAAGGGTTTGGTGTCCCTGCTGGGTGTACAAGCCACTACTCCACTGAAGACCAAAACATACCAAGATACAAGTTCAAATCTTTCTAGTTGTTGGGGAAAAAAATGTAAATCTGATTTGTATTAGAGAAAATTTAGCAAACTTGAATATAAGCAAGAGATGTCTCCGTCACAAGACACAGCATGTACCAATACCACCACTAGCCTTCTGTTCTAGAAGGTGGTTCTCTTTTTCTACCCCTTTTAGGGCTGATTCAGAAATGGAGATGACAACTAACCAGACCTCTGGTTAGTCTGAAGGGCAAGCAAGTATCAGTCATGCCTCAAAAGGCCTCACCTACATAACTAGAAGATGCTAATACTACTTATATTTGTCTCCTGTCTTGCTTTCCCTTCCACCAACCTGCCTCTGAAATCCACCAAGAGGAGAAAACCACCACCAAAAACCTTGCTTTGCATCTCCTCTCCCATTACCTGTCCTTCCCAGATCAATGGCTTTGCTGGAGCAAGAGTTATACACATATCCTAAAAGACCTGTTTCTGTAAAAGGGGAGAGACACAGCTCTGGCTCTGCCTTAAAACCTGAAATTCCCTGTGTTTATCCAGAAAGTGCACTACTGGCAGACCTCCTGGACTCTGAAGGGTCACACTGTGGCCCTTCCATAAGTGCTTAATGGGAAAGCCATTCCTGGTAACTCTAAGACAACTGAATCAACTTTTATGTACCTTGATTTGGATAAAAAAATATTATCTCCTTGGAGATGCATGTTTTTTCCTCTCCTTCAGCCACTGATGGGCATTCTCAATATTCTCCCCATGGCGTTTAGCTGGGTGGATACAGGGATTTGAGGGGAGGAAGACCTGTTTTGCATCTCCTCAAAGCACAGGCCACCTAAATCCTTTATACAGGGAAAGCCTGAAAGCTCAGAAACCTCAGCATCCTATTCAAATTGTTCTTTAGAAGCACAGGTTGCCTTGGGGCATTAGTAATTTGCTTTGTCCCCTTTCCTTGCTACCCTTTCACAAGGAACAAAGATTTCATTTATCTTCATATCAACAAGTCTAGAATAAAGTCCACACAGTTGGGTCCTCCTGACCCTTCTCTCACCCTTCCAGTGGATAAGAACCACATGGGAGTAGCTCACAAAATCCTGCAGTATTTTGACCAGAATGGCAGATTGATAAACCCTTCGGAATTAAAGCTAATCCCAACAGCAATCCCCAAGACAAGACATTACTGGACTGAACTCTCCCTCTCCACAAGGACCAGTCAGTAACCTGCACATTCCTCTATAAAATAAAGTAAAAATCAAATAAATCATTAAAGACATCACCTGCAGTTTGCTCCCTGCCAAGCCTTACCCGCAGAGTTGCCAGGAATAGTTTGAAAATTTCAGCTCACCATTTTCACTACAAGAAGCATAACTTTTCAGTCCTGAACAGAATTATTTTATTTTGCTGATGAAGTGAAGGGCTGGTTATGTGATACTGTCTGAGCAAGAGACAGGGGCTCCATCGCCCCAGGTTTGAAAGCAACTCACTCAAAAAGAATCAATGCTAATTAAATATGAATGTTTCCAGTGGGGCACTCACCAAGGAATAATAAGGAAAAGCATATTTGTGTTTATAACAACAATAATGGTGCCGTATCTATTACATGTGCTTGCTTCAGCTCCCTCTAAGAGCCCTGCCAGCAGCTTATCACCTTCCCAGGCTCCTCAGAATATCTCAGGTCTGCAAAACTGAGCCACAGTATCTGCCTTAGGAAACCTGCAGCATTTCCTCTTACCACTTAAAAAAATACAGATAACCCCTGGCAACGCTTGTTTCCAGCACAATCAGGATGGAATTTGGAATTCCATCTGCTCAGAGGAACCTGTGCAGTTGGCACCGAGATGCCAACGCTCGACGTGGTGAGATGGCAGCGGGCTGGGAGCTCTGCCCCAACTTTTCTCAGCACAATTCTCTTGAGATGGGGCAGGGGAAGACCACACCAGCACTTTGCATTTATCCACACCACTATGCAAGCCTCTGGCTGTAAAAACCAGCAGCACACATCAGGATTTAGCAAGAGCTGGCATCCAACCAAGCCCCAGCTCTGTGGGGATCCGCTTCCCAGCAAGTGCAAAACAGGTTTACATGTATATTTGTCCTTTTTTTTTGTCATTTGTTAGCAATGTAGCAAAATACCTGCCTTGTTGCAAAGTTACAGCCAGAAAGCAGAGGCCTCCAGGTAGCGCCTCCACGCCAGAGATCTCCAAAGGATTTCACACCCCAGCTTTTCAACTGCTCAAGCCACGACTGAGAAGGAAGCAAAGGAGAGCAGAGGGAAGGACTGGGATGCCAAGGGTGCAGAGATGAGGACAGCAAGCAGAGAGAGCCAAACCAGCAGGCAACCGCACAGAGGGAGGGCAGGAAGAGGGAGACAGGAAGGTTATGTTGCAAGGACAACCAGCAGAGCCCACAGAGGATTTTGCAAAGCGCACATCTCCGCTCCCTGGCCGGCAACAGCTTAATGGGTGGTCTGTGAGGAGATGGGAGCAGCGTTACAGGCTGCTGGCAGTCAGAGGCCAGTGTGAGAGAGGCTTTGATCCTCCTGAAATGCTCTCCTGATACTCTCAGGTGCCTGGCTGCCTTTGGTAGCAGTATGGCAAACCTTTCTGCCCCATAGCCCAAGGCCAACCAATTCTCCCACAAATCCCCACGTTGCCATCACCCACCAGAGCTCCAAGTACAAACAAATCAGGAAAATAAGCACATCCATTGTGTCCTTCCCGCATTTGAACCCTTTCCCTTTTGCTCTGTGTTGTCAGCTGTGCTGTGTCGCCCCGTGGGAGGACAGGACTAACAGCCACAGCAGCCTTTGCCAGTGGGCTCTTCTGCACTGGCACTTGTGGAACAGCTCCCTCTGTCACCTCAGCTTGCCCCAAAAAAATCAGCAGCGAGTTTGAGATCTCTCCCAAATACCTGCCCCCTCCCACCCTTTTGGGAATAGGAGGTCACTACCATCCATCATCCCAACAGTGGACTGTGGTGCACTAGACAGCCTGAGGCAGGTTTTGGCTAAGCAGGATGATACACAGACACTGGAAAAGACAACCTGCTTCTTAACCCACCCTAGGCATGGACTTGCCTGTGTATTCAAGATTAGCAGCCCCTCACCCCACAAAAACTTTCCCTTCATTTTCAGTTCGCAAGGAAGCCGTCAAATTGCTCGTGAGTTTTCCTGAGGTTTCCTTCAGAAAACCTTCTTTGTTAAAGAACAGTTTTTAGTGTGCAACTGCAGGATCCCTCCACGTGAACCCCAATTCTTCAGGACCAAAGGTCTGCCCCAGTCAGGCCAGCTTTACTGGCTGAGTGTAAGTGGTACAGTGAGCCTGCACTAGCAAACAGAACAGGCCTGTACCCCTGACCCACCACATCCCACCCACCTTGTCCTTCCAGAGCTTCAAATATTCCTATTTCTCACTCTGGCCTTCTCTGCATCACCTCTGGAAGGCACTGTGAATCTTCTCCACAGTTAGAGGGACATCAGCACTGCTTACATGTCCAGTGGAAAGATATGGGAAGAGACTCACAGACTCACACAAGAGGCCAGATTTGGCCATCTGCTCCATCACCTTATGCAGCTCAAAATTGCCACTGTTTTGCAACCTCTTTCTACAATCACAGAATTATTTAGGTTGAAAAAGACCTCTAAAATCACCAAATTCCACTGTTCCTTCTCCTTTTCTATTCTGAGCTTTGTTTTTAGACTATGGGATGAGATACTTCCACAGAGGAATCCATCCTGGAGAACAGATTTATACAGGATTTAATTCCAGCCCTTGACAGGGAGATGAGAGAGTGCCTCCCAAGTTTCTACTGCATCTTGGTCTTCCAAGGACAGGAAGCTGCTCTGTACCAAGATAACTCAAGACAAAGATGAAAATGAAACAGTAGCATGGCCCAAGGGCTGCAAGAACTTCAGCTATATAGAGACAGTGGGTTGTTTTCTCTTCACCACGGAATGAAATGTCTCCTTCTTACCACAGCAGGTTTGGAGTCATCCCAGGACTGCTGATCCACATCAATCATCCAGGTCTAACTCACCACTCATTCATCTAACTCTGAATGATGCCAGGAACATGAAAGTTAATATTTTCTGGCATCTCATCAGGGAAAAGGGAGTGGTCCCTGGACAAGCCCACAAGACACATGGACACATCTCCTCCTTCCACAGTGAGGAAGCAAGGCTGGAAGAGTTGAGCTGATCCCAGATGACCACACACCTCCTGTAGGTGCTGGTTTCCTACAGCAAGGTGGTCAGAGGCATCCTCAGATACAACTTGTTGTCTTTAGTGGATCAAGCATTGTCCAGAAGCGCCATGCTCCGTGGATGGGAAAGGATTCTTTTTACAGGAAGCGTACAAGACTTTCTGCCAGACCACAATGCCAGCCAGCAAAAACGAATCTGCTACCTGGAGGCTAAAAAATAAATTAAAATAAAATAGATGTCTTTCTCCTCACTGTGTTCAGAGCTTCCTTCTCCTTGCAGGAGAGTGGTGAACTGGTCCAAAGGATCTTTGCAGGCTCCATATCACACCTGTTAGGAGATTATATGTATCACACTCTCCTTGAGCCCTCCCAGTTTCTTGTCCTTGGTCCTAGCTGGAAGGTTGGATCATGGATAGACACTGAGCCTATCCCAAGCCTTCCCTTTTAGCTTAATGAACACCCTTTGATAAAACCCCCTTACAACCATCTCCCACCCTGACAGAAATTAATATCCTCCCCTTCACCTTCACCCCAAAGGATGCACACACTGAATTCTGACTGTCCTCCTCCAGAACATTACTGGTGCTCCCCACCATCAGCAAGACTTCCTTGGAGCAGCCCAAGGACCACTGGAGCCAGCAGGAACCTCACACAGACGTGTTTCACATATTCCACTTGTGCGTGGGAGCCCAACTGCTGGCAGAGCAAAAGCAGCACTGCCTGAGGTATGTGAGCTGTTACCACACAACAGGATTAGGTTTAATCCAGCTGCCTAATGCACCAAGCTGTCAGCACAGCCCACATGTTACTGCCAGACAGCTTTATTTACAGTCTTTTGGGGACCGCGTATGCACGGAGCAGGTAGGAAAAAGCTTAACCACGGCCAAAGCAGAGGGTTCAGGGGTTTTGAGGAAAGGCAAATATTTAAAAGCACTGAAAGTTGAACGGGTTGACAAGGTGGGAATGGGAAAAGTCAGTAAAAACTTCTTAAGAGATACTCAAATGGTACCTCCAAAACCAAGGGATCTGATTATCAGTGCCAAGTACAGAGGCGGGTAAGAAATAGCAGGAAACATCTGAATTGCACAAAGTGCTGACTTGGAGGGCGAGAAGAGACTTTCAGAGATGGGGAACTGATGCACCAGAGCACCCAGACAGGTCTGGTGGAAACCACAGACCCCCTCTGGCAAGTTCTGCATCTGAAACAAAACGACTGAACCATAGAATGGTGTGGGTTGGAAGGCACCCCTTGGGCAGGGACACCTTTTACTGGACCAGGTTGCTCAGAGCCCCATCCAACTTGGCTTTGAGCACTTCCAGGGATGGGGCACCCACAACAGTGCTGAATGGGAAAAAGTGAGTGAACAGCTGGAATCTGTCCCCAGTTTGCAGGGTCACACTGGTGGAATCTGGTCTGCAGAGATACTGCTGCTACCACCAACACCCAGGAGTTCCAAAGCTTTGCACCCCTGCTCAGAGCAAGGGACCTGACCACACATTCTACCATCTGAGGATGATGCTCAGTCCTTTCCTTACTTTCCCACCCCTGGTCTTAGGGCTGGAAAGGCCAAGCAGGCTGAGGACAGGACAGCCCCTCAGGTTAGAGCTATTTTCAGCTGTATTTCCTCAAGCATTAGCAGCCAGCTCCCTTGGCTGCTCCGGGACGTGGGAATATGTGTTATGGAAATTTTGTACATCACCACCACAAGGGCCAAAAGCGGCCTACACAGGTCCTCAGTTAAACTCAGCAGCTGGCACAGAGCATGTTCTCCTAGAACTAAATTTGACCAGCAGAGTTCAACAAGCCACTGAACAGATTTTAAAGGCCTCCAAGCAACATGCCTTTCCATTTCCAGACTCTGAATGAGCACAGAGCTTCAATACTCAGTGACCACAACCACAGTCCCACACAGATCAAGATCCAGATGGGCATCCAGAGAGGCATTGTCCATTTTTATCCCCTTCATTTCTTAATGCTCCTCTAGAAAAGTTTACTTGCACACTGCAAGAACTATCTCTCAATGCAAATTCACAGCATTTACTTACTTAAAAAACACAAACCACTGGAGTATTTCTCAAGTAATGCTTCCCTCTAGGAAGCTGCTCACTGCCATGGCAATGGGGGAAGGAGAAGGCTGGAACAGGTTGGAGGCAAGGCACAAAACTGAATCAAGCTTGATTTGCCTGAATCAGGCTCTGACTAGAGCCAGCACCTCCCCTGCTCAGTCTGTACAGGCCCAGCAGCACCTCCAAGACCTTTGGTATCCACTTCCCACATCCTTTGAAGCTCAAACTCTGCTTTGTTCTCCTCCCTGCAGAGGTTCCCTACAGGGAGAGGGCCTACAGCCATGACCTGCTACAGCAATGGTGCACAGAGTGTTTGTGGAGTTTCACAGAATCCTCCTAGATTGGTTTGGGTTGGAAAGAACCTTAAAAAAATCATTGAGTTCCAATCCCCCTGCCATGGGCAGGGACATCTTCCACTAGACCAGGCTGCTCAGAGCCCCATCCAACCTGGCCTCAAACGTCTGCAGGGACAGGGGTTTGTTGGCTTTGAGTACATGTAAGGCAACCAACATTTCCCAAGGCTGACTTGTACCAAGAATACACCTCTCCAATCCTTGATCTTAGGAGCCAAGCAACCTCAGAAGAGGTAGCAGCTTTTAAAATGCAGTTTCCTGTGCTTAGAGGCAGCTCAGAGATTAACGAAGAGCTTTTGGGCGAAGATGGAGGAACACAAGCATACAGGAGCCTTTGACTCTCCACTAGCTATAAAACAGGTCATTCCTGGCTGCAGCAGTGCTTGGCCACGAGCTCAGGCACAAGAGAGGCTGATCTCAGAATGACTCTTTCTGGGTTTTTGGAAATATGGAAGTAATTGATTTTTCTAAACAATTCTGGGCAGCTGGATGCTTAAAATAGCAGCGTGGATTTGGGGCCTTTCCCTCCCCCTTTTTTTTTTTTGCTTCTCCATTAAGCTCTTGCAGTCACACAGGGAGAACCTCCTGGGGCTGTGCAGGCAGGTGGACCAACCAAACAGAGCTGGAGGGGCTGCTGGTGCCCAAACTTCAGGATATCTGCAGTGGCTGGCATCAGCTGCAGGGATACAGCCACAAGCTGGAAGAATGCAACTGCAACAGATGTTTTTTTTTTTGCTCCAAGCTGATGCAGGAAGATGGGTGCTGGCTGTACTGGCCAAAGACACAACCATTCTCTCCTGATGTGTGGAGCAATGGCACTGAATGCTGTTTGCAACATGGATTTGGTGCTTCCCTGCCTTTCTGCCCTCCCTCCTCTGCAGGACTGCAAGAGACACTTTTGCTTCTCAGGAGAACTGAGGAAGCAACGCCGAGTCTGGTACAGCAATTAGCCCAGAAAAATGAATCATATTCCTGGCGCCTGAATCAAAGTGTACAGAGTTTACAAGCATCTTCCAAACTGTTTTGGAAGTTACTTAACACCAGAGATGAGAATAGCGGTGTTTTCCTTCCCCAGCCCTGCAACAGGATTGCCCTGGACATGCCACTTGGCTCCTACCTAACTTTTCCACTGTGGTCACTCTGGCCAGAGACCTGCACCAAAAACTCTGCTTGGTGGGTGAGACATTTAGTCCCCCCAAATCCAGAACCAAATTCAAGCAACAGCAGAAACTTATTTTTTACTAATGAAAGCAAGATTTCCTCAGAGGAATGAGCGGTTTCTGTAGTCTAAGCCAGCCCTAACGAGGGCCCAGCTGCAGCTCAACAGAAGTTCACCACTGCTCTGCCAATACACTTTTAATGTTTCCTTGCTGCTGCTCAACTGCAGACGTGGCACGTGGAGCTGAAGCTGTGCCCTGGGATGGCTGTGCTTGGGTTTCCAGCCCCTGTCGCTCAAAAGCAGAAAAATGCCAGTCCCTGAATCAAGAATATCTGGATTCTTCTGCTGCCTCATCTGAGTAACTTTATTATGAAGGAGGAGCCATCAGGGAAAATAAAAAAGGTAGTCTCCACCAAATGCCTGCTGTCAGGATGCTGAACCTGCTCTGGAGATCAATGAAGTGTTTAAAGCCACTCTCAAGTTTGAGAGAACTGGCCCTGCCACATCCCATCATTTCAACTCATTCTGCTGTCTCACAAACCCAACCATTCCCTTCACCCTCTGCCATGATCCATTTATGCATGCTGACTGTGGCTCTGAGAAAATTCATAAGTCAGTGGGGCCTCCAACCTAATCCTAATTTGATCCAGGTTTCACCAGCTCAGTTATCAGACCAGCTACTAAAAATACAAAGGAACAAGACTAACTTCAGAACAGACTCAATTATTAAGGTGAGAATGCAATTTGCATGAATAAGAGGTATTTTCTCGAGTAAGACTGAATTCATCTGTATATTAGATGTACTGTAAAACAGTTACAAAGGGTTAATTTTTCCCTTTCCTGAAGCCAGAGAAGCTGTGCTTTCCTGGAAGCTGGCTCTGCTCTTTCAGAAGGGAACTGCTACCCTCTAGTGGGGCTGAGAGGAGCTTTTCTGATACTTTTCCATGTCAAGGCAGGAATTTAAGAGAGAGAGGTCAGACTTGGGAACTCAGTTTTGGGGCCACACTGTGCCTGGCTGATGCCTATTACAGCTCAAGGGAAATGCAAGGACAACTCCACGTTTTGAATGGAGAGGCAGGGAAAAACCCATGAAAGAACCCCACAAAAGTCACCACCACTACCCCCAAACATCTTAATTTATCCTGTGCATGTCTAGGGATATATTATCCACCCAAGGAAACATTCAGCCTTTCACCACCAACCTGCTACACTCAGATGTGTGCTTGGCAAGGCCAAGAGTTACCCATGACCTAGTGATGTCCCAGCATTTAACACCACACTCTGGGAGCTCCTTGGAGAAGGGGTAACAGAAGGCTCACATGTTTTAGCTCCAAAATGTAGTTCCTGCCATTTTTTCCTCCCCATTCCCAGCTGGGAACACCATTGTGTGGAGCACTGACACCTACCATACTCTCCAAAGACCAAGTAGGTGTATTTCTTGTGCTGCACGATCCAGGAGACAACTTTCACACCCAGCCAGATCAGCAGCATCCCCAGCGTGGCATCAAGGATGAAATTAATAAGGTAGCTAAAAGCAGAAGAAAATTCAGAAAATTTCAGTTGTGTTCTTAAGTCTTATTCAAGATTTTTAATTTTAATTTCAATATGGCAATCATTAAAAAAAACCCCCAAGATTCTCAATAACTGCACTTAACTGTCCAAGCTTAATTCCTCTTTCTTTTATTGGATTTTCCTGTACCAGCAATCTTTTAGTTTAAAAGCCTGTTTAGGAGAGAAGGGAGCAGGCTCCACCAGCTCTCTGGCACTGCTCATTTATTCACATAGCATTAAATACTTCCTGGGCTACACCTGCTTAAAAGTTACCCTCAAAATAGGAGGCTATCCATTTGCAGTATCTTTTTTTCTTATTAGGACAAAATCCCAAGCTTCAGGGGAAACAAAACAAAACTGTTCAGGAATTTCATACAAGAAAATGGTAGCTTTTTGGACACCACAGCTGCTCTACAAACTGGGCAGCAGAAGAGGCAAAAAAGTCTATTTTTTTACTGAGCAGCTGCAAGAGGATCCTACAAGCAGAGACATGGACAGTGGCAGGTTTTGGGAGAGGTGATGAGCCCTGGCTCAGTAGCAGCCACCCTGAGGTCCCCAAAAGCCTTGAGTTCAGGGTCCCCAGTGCAGATCCAGGAGCTGAATCCATCCCTACCAGGGTATTTGGGTTTGTTTGGCAGCTTTGGTTGTTTAAGTGACACTGGACAGAGCACCAGAGGCAGGAGATCCACATGGACCTTTGGGGATTTGGATAGTGTGAGATCTAATCCAAGGTTTGGTATTTTTATGAACATCAGAGGAAAAAAAAAAAAAATGAGGCTAATGTTTTTTGTGCAGTTTTCCATTTCTGCAGTATTTTCTGCCAGATTTCTCCAGCATGAAGAAAATGCCAAGCACAGAGCTACAGGAATGAACATTTCCTTCTCCTGGAATTCGACACTGCCTCTGAATCAAGAAACTGAAAACAACAATCTGCTTTTGATATCCACTTTGAAAGCATAACATGAAGTTTTTCTACATCCAAAGGCTTAGACTGGGCTTTTACAGTTTCCAGCTGCTGAAATCAGAGCATTCAATACAAACATGAGGCTCTGGTGGTTTATACTGGGCAGGACATGTAGTGTATGAGCCTCAAAGCCCAGGGACAGGGCTGGAGGCTTTTAAGCTGCCTGGTTCAGGATGACAAGTCAAGCAGCACAGGGAAACATAAAACACACATTAAAAATAAACAACACACCCAAAGGGCACAGCATAAGCACGAAAGGGTTTCTTTTAAAACAGTGTCTGTTTTAAAAAAAACAACAATACATCATTTTAGAGGTTTTATGTAGCCCCAGCCAAACTTGTGTCTGCTTAAAGAAACATACCAAGGTGCAGCACTTTAATATATAAAAAGGAGACAGGCCAGAAGGTTTTCAGCAGCATTCTGAAGCCTAGAGGAGTTTCTCAAAATGAGATGAGGTTAAATCTGAAAACTGTAGCTGCAAAGTGACTGAAGTAAAGGTGAAACTTCTAAATCAAGTCTGAAGTCTGGCTTAGAAATCCCCCAAGCAGGACCAGCAGACTGCAAAACAGACAACCCAGACCCCAAAAATAAGCTCAGCAGGGTTTATCCCAAGTTTTCCACCGTGTGTGATCCTTCCCAACACACTTCTTCCTTTGACAAATGTAGGGCATGAATGCAAGTGCCTTGCATACTTACAGGGAGCAAGGGTCCTCTTCAGTGAGATCTGACAGGAAAACATTGGCAAAGTGGATGAAGAGGGCACCTATTGCTTGCTTGGAGGTATCATAAAACCTGGAGAAAACAAAAAAGGCAAAGAAATTTGTGCCCTGAAGCATCAGCAGCAGAGCAGTCACCCAGTGAAGAGCCCACATGGATCTGCTTTCCTTCGGGATGCATTCCTGATGCCCAAGAGGTTATGTGTGCTGTAAAAAGGGCTCTTTGGCCAACTCCAAATACTTAAAAAAAAAATAAATCCCACTTCAGCACACATCAGTTCAACCCTGCAGCAAAGGGCAGTTCACCCTCCAGCTCAGCCTCAGCTTTTCCAGCCACCAGTAGATGCAGGGAAGATGTTCAGCTACTTACAAGTTTTGCACCTGTACACAGAGACTTGGATTGAATTGAGCATGTGCTGATCCCACCCACACCTCTCATCAGCCCCTAAATCCTGCAACACAGAGGTGCTTTGTAGAGGTGTCTGAAGCCAACAGCAGTTCCCAGCTCCCTCACATCAGCACACAGCCAAATCTGCTGCTGGTCTATGTCTGAGCTGGGTCAGGGGACACCAAAGGGATTAACTGAACTTAAGAACAAAATCTGACCCTGTCTGGGAGACAGCCCAGGTGCAGGTGTGCCAGCAGACTGGAGGTGACCATAACCCTTGGTTCAGTCACCTACAGTAAAACAAGCTTTTCTGAAAGAGCTGGGCAGGGAATTTTACTTCTAGGGAGCACCAGCTACTTTATGGAGATTTCCTTGGTAAACAGCAGAACCTTTCACTTAACAACTAAGTGTCATGCAGGATACACAAGGGGCCTAAAAGATTGTCAGTACAAGAGACAATAATATTGCATATATGGTCTTTTCAGGTTTCAAATGAAAAATCTCACCATATCCTCCAGGGACGCCTCTCTGCCTTTGGTTCCTTAAATCGTTTTACTGCAAAGAGAATTAGAGAGGTTCCATTAACCACCAGAGCTGAGCTGCTACCCACGTGCAACCTGCACCAACCTTCGCTGCAACAGCAGTCAAAAAAGTCCTGCAGGACCCTCAGCATTTGCCAGTCTAAAGCTGAGAAAAGCCAAAGGACCTTCCCAGGGCAGTGGTGGAATCACTGTCCCTGCCAGTGCTCAAAAGCAGATGTGGTGCTCAGAGACAAGGATCAGTGGCGGACCTGGCAGTGCTGGATGGATGAACTCATTCTTGGAGGGCTCTTCAAACCCTAATGATTCCATGATTCCATTCTGGGACTTGATGCAAACTAACCAGAGGTACCCACGGGTCAGGAGGACGAACACCAGAGGTGTTTGAAGATCAGTGTGTGCTTCTGGCATCCCCCAGCAACAGCCTTCCCATGCCATGGGCAGTGACCTAAGGGAAGCTGGAGAGGGTTCACCCCTAATAAGAGCCCTCCTAATTTTTCCAGGCAACTTGAAATCATGACAGTGAAATGACATAGCCCAAAAATCTGGTAAGCTTTTGAGTCTCAGCAGGGCAGTAAAGCAATCTCTTCCTTGCAGGACCAGAGGATCCTTGAGGAAGCAGAACCTCCCACACATCTCCAGCCTGAAGTGCCAGCCCCCAAAACCTGTGAGCCTGCACGGCTCCAAGCTTGTGCCAGCTAGTAGTAAAATAATACTTCAACTACTCAATATTTTCATGCCCACTGGCTACCACTGTGGAGCAGCAGTCTGAGACACGTGGCTCCAGTACCACCAACCATAGTTCTGAATGAGATATCTAAAGTAACTTTTCCTTCCTTGAAAACACACGAGGTCAGGTAACTGCTCTGTTCACTCCAGCTGTGTTGGAGCACTCAAGCTGCTGGCTGAAGCCCCACCACCTGTCCCAAGGGCTCATTGTCCTGGGAAATGCCTTCCTGGTCCAGCCTGGGAGGATGCAAGGACTTCCCTGACAGGAGCCTTGACATTTCAGAAGTGCAGCTTTGTACTACCTTTCCTGGCCAGGTGGCAGAGCAATTTATGAAAAAATGATAGTAATAGGACAATGGGGAACTGTTTTAAACTAAAAGAAGAGATATTTAGACTAGATATTAGGACAAAGTTCTTTACTGTGAGGGTGGTGAATCCCTGGCACAGGTTGCCCAGGGAAGCTGTGGCTGCCTCATCCCTGGAAGTGTCCAAGGCCAGGTTGGACAGGGCTTGGAACAACATGGCCTAGTTGAAGGTGTCCCTACCCATGGCAAGGGGCTGGAACAAAGTGATCTTTAAGGTCCCTTCCAAACCAAACCAAACCATTCCATGATTCAACAATCTCCCTAACCCCAGTATTTCAGTCAAGCACATGCAGGGGTTTTGGTGCCACTCTCAAATCCACAGAAAACCAGCATTCCAATGACCTGATCAGTTATCTGCCATTAATGAGTGACAAAGCATCAATTAAGTTATACCAAGCAGTTTGTGTCCTACCTCTGTCCAGAAAAAAAGCCTTTTTTCCCCTCATCCAGCTGAATCCTACCACGAGATATTCCTGCAGCAATGACTTCCATCAGCACAGACAAGGTCTATCATCTCCCGTGCCCTTCAAAGGGCCACTTGCATTTCATCCACCCACAAGCATGAGACCCATGCACCAACCAAGGTGTTTGAAGTACTTAAACCAACCCACAGCTCATGGGCAAAGACCATGACGCTGCAGAGTGGGTGCTGGAAGGGTCCTCAGACCACCAGCTGACCACTAACCTGGCCACGAGAGCACCAGGGATGATTTTCATTATTCCCTTAATGAGAAGTGACATGTTATGTATCCACAGCCACTCAGGCTCAAAATACAGTAATTCAGTGTGATAAGATGACAAGTAAGAGGTAAGAAGTTAATGGTGTGGTGCCTTGTTGAACACAGCTTGTCATGCCTCATTAGATTTAAGAGAGTTATCGGAGACTGTGTAATTATCAGAGACAGTAAAACTGTTGTATTAAAGATAAAAGCTAGTATTATAGAGAAATAATTAACTGCTTAATAGGGCATTTACTGTGCAGAGCTGCAGCAGGCTGTCTCCAAATTAAACCAGAAATCCAGCCAAGATTACTGGAGCTTAACAGGGAGCAGAGTCATTTGGTAGCTGTGACCCAGGGGTTAGGGGTGATGCTAAATCCACACTAAAGCAGCACCAGGTCTTAGAAAGCTCAAGGAGATGATGGGGTCCTCTGTGAGGGAGCACAGAAGGGTTCTGGAACAACAGGCTGAGCAGTGACTGCAAGGCATCACACTCCTCTTCCAAGGCCTGCAGGGAGCCAAGTCATGCAGGCACAGACACAGGCTCAGCTGACTGACACTGCAAAAAGGCTCAAGTCTCATTTGCTCTTCACAAAACACATCTCCACTCACTGAGGTCAACTCAGTTTTCCACCAGCTGTAGGCATGGATTTGCTACCATGGCTCAGGTAAAAGAAACCTTAAGGGTGGATTGATCTAAGAAAAGTTGTGCCTGCATCAAGCAAATAAGACATATGTGATAACTTAAATTCCAGCACCCACAATCAGCTAAAATTTTTAAAACACTTTAAACCAATTAAAAGTTGAGTTTAGTGCACAAAAAGCTGAACAAGATGGGAGAGAACCACCACTCAATTTGATTGAAAAAGAGAATAGTGTGTACTGGGTTTACAGCAGAAGACAGGAGGAATTTGTCTTCCCAACAGTGCTCCCAGCTACAGCATAAATTATTTTAACTCTGCTTCCCTTCTCAGCTTTGTCCATGTGCAAAGCAAGATGGCTTATGCAAGGAAGCAATGTTACTGCACATCTTGGGAAGAAATTCTTCATTAGGAGGGTGATGAAACACTGGAACAGGTTTCCCAGAGAAACTGTGGATGCCCCATCCCTGGAAGGGTTCAAAGCCAGGTTGGATGGGGCTCTGAACAACCTGGTCTAGCAGAAGGTGTCCCTGCCCATGGCAATGAGGTTACAAATGGATGACTTCTAAGGTCCCTTCCAACCACTCTGTGATTCCAAAATTCTGTAAGTGCCAGGAGAAGAGGGCCCAGGTATATCCCATTGAACAGGAGCCACTTAGACATTAAACAGCTGCCATCACCACTGAGATGAAAGCCTGCTTTCTTGAGGGTCTGTCCTCACAAGTTACCACTCCAACCCTCTTTGGCTCCAGTTACTGCAGACAAAAAGCTGTGAAGTTGAACCAAAAGGGAAGTAAGATGAGTGACAATTTGAGAGACATACCCTGCCCACAGCTGAGAAAGGGTAGGGCAGGAAACAAAATACTTCCCAGCCCTTCCTCTTCAGTCAAGGACAATAAAGATCAGACAGGCTTGAAATCCCCTCAGAACCACCAGGCTGGGTGGAAGCTGACACGTCAGTAAGAACCAGTGAAATGTTAAAAAATATTTGGGAGGAGTCTTCAATATACATCTGTAAACAGCCAGAAAACTAAAAGAAGATATAAGCTCAATGACAGTTATTCTCACTCCTTTTCCAGGGTAATATAGAGGTAAACATTTATTATCATGTTCTCTTGATGCAGTAGAAAGGGGGCAGAGAGCTTTGGCTGTCCTAGACACATAAAACTACCCTGAAGTTATCTGAACTTGAAGCAACCAATGTCCCACAGTTTACTTTTGGTTTAAAACACAAGTTCTCCAGTTATAACTAAGACAAGGACAGCAGGAACCACCCAGTCTCCTTGTGCTGTTCCTCACCCCATCCACGGCAAAGCATCACCCTTGCATCCCCCACTGACCCCACACTGCATTCAGGCAAACCTGCTGCCGATTTCTGCATCAGCACAGGTGCCTTTTGTCCTTGTTGGAAACAAAAAAACCTAATTTAGGCAGTTAACTGCAGAATCAACCAGCTGCCGATTACCAAAACAGGCTACCAAGTCTGGTTTCTACAAAATTAGAGGGGAAAACTTACTTCCTCAGGAGATGGTTAGACGTGCTCGGCTGAGACTCAGACCGCCCCCTTGGTAAATCTTACTGCAATCAACCACAGGATTCAAAAGTTGAGGTTTGGAAGAGAGATGTTGACTCAACCGACCTAGTTTGACCCCACAAAACTCAGCAATGGGCCCCAGGGGATGGATACTGAAAGTGAACTTGATACTGGAAGTACTGTTAGAAGCATTAAGAGACTTAAATTGTGAAAGATCCACCAAAAACACAGGCTGAAATGCCAAGAACTGGTGATGCTTTAGGATGGGGAATAGCGAAACTGCCTGCTGTAAAGCCCGTGTCCAGGGCCACATCCCACTAGCAAGAGGGTCAGGACTTTATTTCTGGCCTGTGCAGAAGAGGACTTGGAGCTACTGTACCAGGGAGGAAACAGAAGCTCTTCCCCTCCCCAATCTCCCTGTTATTTATAGGCAGTACAGTCTCCAACAACACATTTTAACCCATTTTGTAGGACACACCCTTTCCCAGGCTTTTTCCAAGCCCAGGCAGGAAAGAAGCCAAGATGCAGGATGCAAAGCCAAAACCCTGGGGTCTGCTCTATTCTTAGGCTGAGCCTGCAGCTCCTCAGACAGCTCGACCCGAGACACAATGGGAGGAAGTAGCAGCCAGTGTTTGCTGAGAGCAGCCAAGGTGCTGCTGCCCAGATAAGTGTGAAACATCCACTCTACCATCAGTTCAGGGAGCAGCAAAAGCCCTGGTTCTCCTCCTCAAAACACCTGTCAGAGATTTAAGGAGACTGACTGCCACCGACTTACATCCTCTGTTCTGCACAAGGTGTGTTCAGTCATTCCCTCCCAAATACCCTTGTACCAGTGCTACAGGATCATAAGAACCTCCAGCAAAACTGGCAGAGGGGATACTCTTAGGAAGGAACAGAAATGGAGCTTATGTTCATGGAATCATAGAACGGTTTGGATTGGAAGGGTCCTCAAAGACCATCTCGTTCCAACCACGCCTGCCACGGGCAGATCAGATTGCTCAGGAGCTTCAGTCTGGAGCATATCATTT